TACGATTGCGGCTGGACATACATATGTACAAGTACAGCGATATGATCGGAACTGATCCAGGGCATCAGTTTGTTTGGTTTAAGTATTAGAAATTAAAATCTTTCGTGTAGCACAAGTGACATCTCGTTCCGCTTCTGCGTTTCTGATCGCCGAGGAATCTGTTATGATCAGCTGGCGGCGTTAATATGAAAATATGTGAACTTGAACTTTGAATACAGCTGGTTTGATAGAAATGAGACTTAAGATATACTCAAATGCCTGGTGACGTTTATAGAGACCCCTAAAGTGCGGTTCAAAAATATAGGCACATGATCTAAAAAAATCATCAGACCAGCATCCAAACCACATAAAATCTGTGATCACTTTGTGCATACAAATTTCGAAATTGGGCGTTTGCTATCCGATCACTTAAAATTAAAATCTACATTATAATGAGAGTAATTGCGGGAAGGACCTGAGTAATATTCCGAAAAGAACTCTCAAAAGCTCCAGCCAGATTTGAAATATTTCAAAAATGCCATGCGTCTATATTTTTGAAATGGACTCTAGTAACTGGCCTTTGGATAGGCGTGGAGGGAAGCGGCGGGGTTTCTTGTGAAATTTAAAGTTTGAATCGATACGGTTGTGCACATGAAGCGCTGTGCATGCTCAGCCAGGTACCAATGGGCTGCATGCTCATTAATGAAAGTGCTCTTACAACTACAACTACAACTGCGTAAGTGGTGCCATTGTCATTATGCAATTTCCCTGTTCTGGTTGCTACTCTAATTACTGTAAAAAGCGGACAGTTTAACCACCCAAAGGTTTAACGGGTTTTTTGTTGTAATTTTGGCATGATAACGTGCAGAAAGTGACGATGGCTACCTGGCCACCCATCTGTATGCGCATTATTACATAGACATCTCAAACCGGGTTCACAACAACGTTTCTGCAAATAACGAAGAAAACGTTCGACTTTGTGACTCGTTCGACTTTCCGTCTTGCAGTGCTAAATGTAAATTAAATAAAAGGGGGTTCTGACGATGGGTGACTGGCCCGAAACGTCGCTAATTTTTCAACATCATTAATAAAAGAATTTTCATCTAAAGAGTGAATAGCAACTAAATAGAGCGGTTGTCAGTTGACAAACCCACTTCTATTTACAATGCAGTTGCGTGATGTCCACCACTTTCTGAACAAGTGTAAATTACTACAACACAACTAGGAGGTCTACTCACCGCCATTGCTGCCTCTACTGAACAACACCAGTGCTGCGGGCAAGTAAAGCATCCGCTTTCACCGACCCAACTCTAGGCAGGAGAGGCGCGGAAGGGACCACTAGCAGTTAGTTGATTCTGCAATGCCAGGAGCTCTGACGATTGTTCTTAGAGAGAGGAGGAGGAGGAGGAGACTGAAAACAAGACAGAAAGAGAGAGAGATAGAGAAATGTTTTAAAAACCTGGCTGGATGAAAGGGTGGATGGATGGTTGGATGGTTGGATGGGTTGGGCAGGTGGGTGCATGGGTGGTTGGGCGGATGGATTGATGGATAGAGGGATAGATAGATTGATAGATGTATGGATGGCTAGATGGGTGGATGGGTGGGTGTATCGATGGATGGATGGATGGAAAGGTGGGTGGATGGATGGGTGGATGGATAAATGGATGGATATGGATGGATGGATAGATGCATGGATGTGGATGGCTGGATGGGTGGATGGGTGGGTGGATGGATGTATCATACTAATGGATGGATGTAATAATATGTACAGATATTTCAAGCGGTAGTTTAGGGGCGGTCAATAAAGTTTTTTTCTCACAATCTACACCTTTGCATGCAAAACGCAAATCCACCCAATCAAGTAGACACTTACTTTCATCTATCAAACGTTTTATTTCCTTTCTCTGCAGGATAGTACAGGGAATGTTGGAAATTTGGAAAAACACATTACTGTAACTAAAGCAGCCTGTTTCCCTTCCCGTTTCCGGTCTTGATGGGGCAATGAAGAGTGGCTGACTAGGCAATGTGGACATGTTAGGGCACAGTACTGTCGAGCGCCGAAGAACGACCAGGCTAGAATTTCACCAAGCACAGCATACCAATGTCTACACGGTGACTGAACTGAGCGTAGGCTTTAGTGCATGGAAATAAGAGGGCGGTGGGGGGGGGGGGGGGGTGAAATCAGTACGAGGCTGACCCCCCAGTTCTTCGGCGACCGGCAGTACTGTAGTGCACTGCTGCTCAATGAAACACAATCGACTGCACGGCATCGGGTCCTGCGCAACCGCGCACCAGCAAACACTAGGCTGAACTTGGGAGCAGGGTGCAAGTGTGTTTGTTATTGCAGTTTATTAGTCTACTTCAATAACTCTATTGTCTATTTTTTTCTTTTTAATCTTGTTTCCTTTTCCCTTATATTTGTGTGCCTGCAGTCGATCTCATGTAATAAGGCAACACTGCCTGTGTGTTCCAAACCAATCCAATCCAATCACACTGCTCTGACGGGAAAGGGAAACGGGAGAGCATGAGAAGAACAATCGGGAAAATGAGAAGGTGGGTACTACCAAGAAGGGCGCATGAAACAGAGAGCCTGCAACTTCTGACTTTTCTGCAGGGGTGTCGGTCACGGCGAAATTCCGACATTACATGGTGTATGGTGCAGATCTGTGGCGGGAAGTGGCGTAGTGTGTACAACTGAGCTGCACTTGTGCCGAAAGATAACTATGCGCTTTTATTCTGCTTGCACGCACTACACCACTAAAATAATTCAATCCCAGGAAATCCGCCGTGACAGCAACCCGTCCGAGCTGCACACCCTGGGTGTCATGAAGGCGTCCTGTTACAGAGTCATAACGACACAACCATGTTTGTGAGTCTGGAGTAGTGGAGGTCCATGGCCAAACCAGGACTGCGTGACAGTACACTGTCTGTGTACATATGTACAGTAAAACCTGTGACTAACGGCCACCCATTGGGATCAGAAAAAAAGCGGTCTTTAGTGGCAGGTGGTCTTTAGTTATAGGTTTGCACTGCACAGCCATTGTACATGTATGAATGTGAGACTGACCGTGCCTGGCGAAGTGGTCTGTAGTAACTTACCAGGCTGGTCGCTAGTCACGGTGGTCTGTAGTACCAGGCTGGTCGCTAGTCACGGTGGTCTGTAGTTACAGGTTTTACTGTAGTACCAGGCTGGTCGCTAGTCACGGTGGTCTTTAGTTACAGGTTTTACTGTAGTACCAGGCTGGTCGCTAGTCACGGTGGTCTGTAGTTACAGGTTTTACTGTAGTACCAGGCTGGTCGCTAGTCACGGTGGTCTTTAGTTACAGGTTTTACTGTAGTACCAGGCTGGTCGCTAGTCACGGTGGTCTTAAGTTACAGGTTTTACTGTAGTACCAGGTTGGTCGCTAGTCACGGTGGTCTTTAGTTACAGGTTTTACTGTAGTACCAGGCTGGTCGCTAGTCACGGTGGTCTTTAGTTACAGGTTTTACTGTACACCGGAATCAACCAGCCTGCTCTATACCAGGCGCGTGCCCCGTATGGGTTCCTGGGTGCCCGGAACCCCCCCCCCCCTTTTCCGCTCAAATGCAGGATTTTGCTTCATTTTTTGAAAATGTTCACGAGGAGGCCCCCCGGAACCCCCCCTTGAAGGGCCCGGCGCATACGCCTGTATACAACACCTACGTGATCACACCATACAGATGTCAACATAGGACACATGATGCTACTGCCGTGGACATGGAAAGACCGGGCGCCCGGCCGGCGACCTCAGTGCGCACAGAGCGTTGCATACAGTGCGCTTGTTGATTGTATGCGTACATGTACTCACAGCTGCATGGCCAGCGCCCTGGGGGCCGCTCGACCTCCAGCCAGATTTCCATGCCCACGACAGTACGAACTACTAGCATCAAGAGTTCATAACCCAAAGAGTTGGGAAAATGGGATCTGGCTGCTGTAGTCCCACTGCGCGGCGGAATTCCAACATGACGTCATGCCGCTGAGGCACAGCTGTACAAAACTCCGAATTCCGCGGTGCTTGGAACCAGGCAGTAGTACAAGCGCAATGAACGTGTACATCATTGTTGACGTAATGTTGGAATTCCGCCACTTGGATCCTATGTATTGTACAGAGTTGCACACTCTTGGGGTTATGCACTCTTGCTAGTAACTAGTATGCCAGTGCAGTGCACAATGGCCTGGCAACACGTGAAGCACTGTGTGCATGCTAGGGCTGAGTCGGGTAGCATTTTCTTCGGGTATCCGGTCCGGGTAGTTTTCCACGGGTAGCACAGGTACCCGATCAGGTAATGTTTCCATGGTAAGACCACAATGCACACCGGCCCCTTCCCTTGCGCATTGGGTAGACATGCGAGAATTATTTGTACACGTGCACTGTACATGATATCATCTGCGACCTAGGGTTTTCGGGTACTATTTGGTACCCGACTACCCGAGGTCCTCACGGGTAGCACGGGTACCCGACTACCCGTGCACACCACTAGTGCATGCACGCTCGTTCTCCTGGACCGTCGCTACCACAATCACTTGACAACGACACAAACGTGAATACAAGTGTTCAATGGCATGGGCCATTAACCTAAGCTAGGTTTTGGCCATGTTCGTACGAGAACCGAGCCCTGTGGCTTACGGAATCGCAAAGCGATGCCACTACTCGCTCTATTCATAATTACTTCGGCGGGCTGCCTACGAGCCGCTTTGGCAGCGCCCTGAAACACGACCTCTGCGCATCTATATCTGCATGGTGGTGTGCGACGGGCAACGCAAGGCCGTTTTCAGAACAGCAAGAACAAGAACGAGAAAGAGGACTTTCCGGGCCTGGGAAAACAAGACTTACCTGGATTGGTGCGCTCGCCGCTCTTGCTAGTACTAAATTCTAGTGGGCTTTGCTTCTTCGGAACGTATTCACCTGTTCAATAGTCTATTCTCGATAGGCTGGTCCTGAGAAATACTGCAAGCGTGTAGCAGTTGTAAACGAAGCTGTCAAATCAAATCAAATTGCAAACTAAAATGAAGGAGCTGAGCAGTTCCGTCACATTTCGAGCCTGACAGCCTTCCTGATGTGTCCAAGCCAGCATCAGCGTTGTGGCGGATCAGGACCCGCACGGGCACTGCGACGCATGTATTTGGCATGCTTTCAGCGCAGCTTGTATAGTCCTGGTCCCATAACAACCTCAGACAGCCGCACGAACTCCAAATCGGGAAGAGGCGGAAGTACAGATGGAGCCGAGGACGCCTAAAATTTCTTCTCCCGTGGCACGGTTTCTCCGTTAGAGTCCGGCGGCTCAGTGAGATGTAGCGGTTGAACACACTCCCGGATCCCCCTCTCAGCCGGTCAGTTTTTGGAAGGGGATGACGTCTTGGGAAAGCAACCACCCATAAAGCTGCATTGGACAAGGATTGTAAATCTGTAGCCAATGGCCTATGCATATGTAGCTTTTGTAGCTCTGCAGCTCCAAGGCGAGACCATACACACAACAACAAAAATGCACCTGATCAGCCCGCAAAGGATCTAGTTCTTCGAGCCCAGGGCCAGGGCTACAGGGCAGGGGCAATTATTACGACTCCCTGGTAGATCTAGCGGTATACCGTGCAGGCTCCAGCCTGCAGGGCATGACTTATGGACTACATGATCAAGGGCTACTAGTACTACTACTACTAGGCCTAGGGATAAGGACATCACATTTGATTTCTCTCCTGTTTTCAGAGTGCCACCGATCTGAGAAAGAGAAATAAAAAATTAATAAAAATCTGAGAAAGAGCGTTGGTACACTGTAGATCTACCACGACTACAACTTACAAGTAGACGGCGCGGTGTGCCAGATCTTGGTGTGAGGACATCGCACCCGTACGTCTACATAATATATACACTGTACGTAGACACGGTGCTGAGACTCACAGACTGCATTCGCTGGATTAGCAAGACGAAATTCGCGTTCGTGGTCGCACTCCAAGGAAAGTCAAACTCAGTTACCTTTTAAAAGAGATTCCTAGGCTGAGTAGGCTCACAGTCACTGTTCTTTTTCTTCTCTCGTGTGTTTACCGCCATATTTCGAGTCCAGAGGAGGGCTCTGGACATCATCGGCCCAGGCACCCTCCTGGACTCCCTCAGTCTACTCCGCTCGGTTGCTGGCCTCGCGTACCTGTACAAGCTACGCTCAACGGATAGCCCAGCGCAACTCACCGCAATGCTTCCACCTCCGGAACCGCCACGGCCTCACCCCAGGACTAGGCGACAGCTCGACGCCAGCCGCCACCCTGCCTACCTGAAGCTTGACCTCCCACACAGTACCCCTAACTACATCCGCCGGTCATTTCCCTTCTGCCTCGTGGAAGTGTAGAACAGCCTCCCAGCTGAGATGCTCGCCAACCTCCAGGTTAAGAAAATGTAGGCGTTCAAAGCGAATGTTCACAGGCATTTGCGCCACAAGCACTGGCTTTGGGCAACGGACAACAACTAGCGCCTCTGATAATTCTCTCTCTCTCTCTCTCTCTCTCTCTCTCTCTCTCTCTCTCTCTCTCACTCTCTCTCTCTCTCTCTCTCTCTCTCTCTCTCTCTCACTCTCTCTCTCTCATTCTCTCTCTCTCTCTCACTCTCTCTCTCTCTCTCTCTCTCTCTCTCTCTCTCTTTCTCTCTCTCTCTCTCTCTCTCTCTCTCTCTCTCTCTCTCTCTCTCTCTCTCTCTCTCTCTCGCTTTCTCTCCCTCTCCCTCCCTCCCTCTCTCTCCCTCTCTCACTCTCACTCTCTCTCTCTCTCTCACACTTTCTCTCAGCCTGTCAGGGACCTACGTAAGCTGAAGCATGATCAACCTATATTATTTGCATTTGTTCTTTCTGATCTTCTCTTTCTCATTTCTGTTGCATTCTCAGATGCTCTCATAACTAAGTCTATCATTCTTAGTATACCCCCTTGGCCCGCACAGTCCATGTTGATTCCGAGACTGAAATGGTCGGAGGAGTGCACTGCGCCTGACCAACAGAGCTCTTGTAGCACCTACTACTCCTTTGTTGTCTTTGTCTTTTTTCTTTGCCACTTTTATACCCCCTATTACTTTGTAGGGATGTGCACATAGTATAATAACAAAAATAAACATATGTGCAGCTGCAGCGATGTCTTCAACTCCATTCTCCCGAATCAAGCTCCGCATGAAGACATCCAAGAAGAAGATTGCCTGATGAGTCCAGCGGGGACGAAACGTACGTCGAAATCAAGCTATGTCGTTGCTGTGTCATCTTATATGTGCCATGCGCTACTTGATGTACCAGCCTGCTATGTCAGATACCGCCAACCATGCATCAACTAGGCGCCAGGCGCGAACTGATGGTGGTGGTGGTGGTGAGAAGGAGAGCTCTGTACCAGAACTTTGCAGCTTAGAGAGCGTGTGTGGGCAGGTGTGTCTTTACCACCATATTTTTCAAGACAATACAGTGTCGGAATTCGCGTTATGAGAAGGGTTAGCAAAGAGAATTCGCACATGCATGATGTTCACACGTCGTACATGTATATGATTGTGTACAGACAGTACAGCATAGTAAATTTATGACTGTCCTGACACAAATCCGCGAAATCGTGTTTCGACTACTTTTCCGAACTGAAAAATGCGAAAGTTCGCAATCCAGTCCGCTAACCGAAAAAAATATTCGCGAACTCGAACGCGGAAGTCGTGATGTTAAACCTCCGTAATAATTCACGGCTCGTGTCAGACTTGGCCAGAGGCCGGCATCCGTAGGAACGCCACCGCCCTTCAAGGATCATTAAATGGAGGCCGTGATCTAATCTTCTGCCTTTGCGAGATAGAGCGGGCATGTGCAAATGTGCGTGATACTGACGATTGTGAAGTCCGATCGCTAGGATTCAGCGGATGCTGCTCCGAAAACGTTTGTATAATGCTAACCAAAATGCTCCAAAACGACCGTATAATCCTGATTTAACTTGATGCTTCAGAAAAGGCTATAATGCTCTTGGTTTGACACAAAAAGCTAGGGAGAATGACTGCAAATTCTCAAACTTCAATTATAGTCAATCTGCCTCTGAAGCAAACGCAATATCTCTCAGTAGCTCCACCGCCTGTTAGTACCATAAGACATGATCGTTTCTCCAGTGGCTGCTCTCCATATTGCAACTTGATGCAGGGGTGTATCAAATCATTCTTTTTCCCCTCGTTATCCAGGTAGTGAGAGGTGAAAACCATAGTTGCTGCTGATCATTGGGATGTTGGAAGCTTATCATGGCAAGTGGTATTCCTGCTGCAGACAAGCTGTCACTGCTTCCACTCTGTGAAAAATTTCTTATCCGAAACAGCAGATAGTAGGCCAGTTCGTGAGAGGCGATCACGGATCGAGATCCCTCCCATTTGAGGAAAGCCCGAAAACACGTGGTTCAAAGTTATTTTTGTTACGCTACAGCCTTCGCTTGTGCTGTCTTCTATGGTATTGTATTGCTTTTACTTTTACATGGCAAGTCAAACGGGCAATTATGCCCGATGTTATGATGACGATGGAAAGGGAGAAAAGATTAAGAACAAGGTTAGTTATCCTGGATTATGGGGATTGAAGAAAACGGTGAGTCTAGGAATCTCTCCTTTGATCATCAACATTGGTCATGAAAGTAGACTAGGCCTCGACCAAATATGCTTGTGCATATTTCGGCATATTTTGTGAGACAGTTCATATATGGCATATTGAGCGAAAAAGGGAATATTGGAATGAAGCCAGCATATAATTCAAATATTCTGAAGAAAATGAGGACAAAACATTCATATTATGGACAAAATGCGTTCAGAAATGCCTTTTATGGATGAATTTGGAATGGTTGAGGCGTTTGCTACATTTCCACATGGATATCCGGATGAACACTATCGCTACGGTTGCTGGGGACACACCCCAGCCATACTATTCCGCATGTGTTTTGATTTCCACCATAAGCATGATAACCGTGAAGCCAATGAATATTCCAAGGTTGTAATTTTACTGAAATGATCTACACTTTCTGCTTATGTCGAGCATATTTTGGCATATCTTTTTGCATATCTTGCTAAGCCTTTGGCATAATTATTATGGACGTTTTCCCTGATATGCGACGAGCATAATAATTATGCTCTTTTTTTTTAGCATATTTGGTCGAGGCCTAAAGTAGACTTTCAATGGACGTGAGAGTTGAGATGTGCTAGGTCAGGCCAACTAGAGGGGAATGCTAGGCTGTGAGATTCCGAAGTACATCCATTCTGTGTTTGTTTTATGAATGCATTAGAAATCCAACTGTCTTCTTCCCCTCTTGTTGTTGTACAGACTAATGCACTGCCACAATAGTTCTAAACTCGGATGCCGAGCCAGTAATAAAAATAAGAGAACCATGCACCTTCCAAGTTGGACGGCTGTTGGTTTGCGCACTGGAGATGCGTTAGAGCTAGGTCTAAGGTCGCTGAATGGCTCAGTAGCCTATCAGTTTCGTGCCCTATTATCACACTTTCTGACTGTTTATCATCTTGCTACAGTCGTGGATAGTTGCTGCATAACTCGTTCTCATGTGCTGGGCGAATGAAGAAACAACAATCTGCACAAGCCCCTTTACAGGAACTCAGTCAGACTTTTGGTAATGTTGTTCATGATCCGACGAGGCTAGCTATCATCCCAATACCGTGTGGACAGAATGCCTGAAAACAGTCTACAAGCATTCCACCCTGTGTCGGTTGCAGATGTTGCGACATACTTAAAAGCGGTGGACCCAACCAAAGCAACTGGCAGCGATTCAGTCCCCGGGATTGTCTTGCAGAAGTGTGCTCGCATTCTTGCCCCGACACTGTCGCAAGTCATCAATGCCTCTTTGTCTCGTGGTGTTCTGCCAAAGGGCTTCAAACACTCCCATGTTTGTCCTCTCTACAAATCCGGTGATCCTTCATCAGCAGGCAATTACCGCCCCGTTTCTCTTCTGCCCATCGTGTCCCGTATTCTCGAGCAATGCGTCAAGAAACAATTAACTGATTACCTACACCAGAATGAACTCTAC